TCGTGACAGCACCTAACCCAGCAGACTTACAGGGAAGGTCCTTGTGGTGGACACGTTTTCGAAGGTTTTCGGTCTCGGAAAGGAGCCCTTCAAATCAGAAAGGAGAATCGAACGTCAAAAAACACAAGGTCTCACACGTACGACCGCCTCCCCCTCCCCCAAATTTCAATGTTCTGCCATAATACCGGAAAGACATGTTCTTGGAAGCTGGCAGGGCGCCGACCAGCTGCAGTCACGCAGACCAAGAGGTTTGTGTCGGAGCAGCACCGACCGTTCCGTCGCACTTCCGCAACAAAGATTGAAATGGAAGGGGCGGGGGAGGAAAGTCAGACGGCAAAATTCGACGAGGTACAGCTCCAAGCGTCGAACATTACTAACAAACTCCGACCAGTGCTACTCAGGACGGACACTAGGCCGAGAATACCTGCCCATCCTCCGTCTGTGTGCGCACGCGGCTTTGTGTCGATTTTTCGCAAAAACGAGCTTCGATTCTCCAAGCACCCTAAATCCACGTAACCCGTCTAAGTTTCACAACCATCCCAGTCTATGCACGTACCGAGCGTGTTTTTACAACCAGCCCAAGTCCACCCACCGAGTGTTGACTTTCAGTAGCACCCTGCGATCAGCCATCGCCAAGATGTACACACATGGTGACTAGCTGGAGGTTCAGCGGTCCCGGGAGCAGACTTTCAGAGCATCATGTTAGAGATGTTTTGACAGCTGCATCAAGCGACCATGGACATTGCGTCGGCAAAGTTTGGCAAGAGAAATGTGGAGTGCTACAGTTTCCTTAAGGCGCTTCCTGGTTGGCTTTGGGACGAAGCCTCGTACGAGAACTACGTACTGTGTGAGATCACCCACGAAATCATCCAAGCTGCTCTTTTTGCAAACTTCGCAGTGAGCTCGAAGCTGTTTACTGCCTGGCTCACGTGTCATGTTCTCGCCCATGAACTCCTCAGCCTTTTTCGTGTCGTCAAGGAACACGGCCAGAAGCTATTTCTCTACAACGCTTCTAGTGTGGAGATCCCTGTTCGTGGTCTCGTCGTGCAAAAAACGAGGCGGCGAAAGGCATCGCCTGTGACAATGCCGCGGACTCCCAAATCGTTTAAGCGGGCCATCGCAGACGCCGTCTCGGTCTTTGTCGGACGTGAGCGCTTGCAAGCAAGGTGGCGGCGTCAGCGAGCAGCTCCATGCATGGTTTCGGCGTCTTGTGCCCGCATCCCCGACAAGCCTGTGGCTCCTTCGCGCTTTGCCTCGTGCTGTGGCGACACGTCCTGCTGCGAACCGGACCAACTGCTGAAGTTCGTGTGCAAGAAGTTCGGCCGGATTGGCTAGGGTGGCTCGCCCACAGGTTACGCGGGCTGCTTCTGTCTGGGATTGTAGCCGACTGCCGGGGACCGAAACAGGAAGAGTCTATCTGGTGGAAGAAATTGTGCAACCGTATTCGACGAGGCCACCAGTTCGCCCTACAAGCACGGGCGGGCACGGACGAGTCGCTGTCGCCCAGCCCAGCGATGCGGTCTTGGTCTCGTTGGAAGGTCGCAGCGCCTACGACTCCTTGTCACTTCTTGCACGCAGCTTTCTTGCCCCGGAGCCCCTCCGCTTCACCCACATGTTCTACGGCCGCCCCTCCGCATACAGCTGCTGGGACAACAAGCCGTGGCTGACCACTGCGGCATCGGGCCCAACCCCGGCAAGACACAGTTGATAGCCGCCAATGCAGGACCACCGCCGCCCGAGATCGCCGAGCTGGGCAGGGCTGTCGGGCGGGGTGACAAGCCTTGCGGCTGGGCACACACCGGTTGCGCGGCTTTGTCACCGGTATTCCAGTCGAGCCGCTGTTGAATTGGTCCTCTTTGAGTCCCGTCATACAAAAGTAGACCGACAGAGTCATGAAACACGCAGTGCATTGCGGAGGGTCATCGCCGCTGCAATCGTCTAGGGGCCGAATCTTCTGCGATTGCCTCACACGAAGCCGTCACCAAACCGCTTCAGAGGAATGCGCCCGGGGCTGCCCAGTTTCTCATCGACCTGCTCCGGCGAATAAGGGCCGTCCAACCAGCTTTTGGCGTCAGCCGTTTTTGAACATGTCAAGATGCACACAGCCTCGGCCAGGTCGTACATGTTCTGATTGCGGAAGGTGTTTTATCCTTCCACACCCCATAGCACTCGACGGTAACCCGCGCCTAACGCAGCGGGAAGCGGCTGGGGCCTACGTGCCCAGCGAGCGCCAGAACGTGGCCCAAGACAGGCTCGAACCCGAGCCACGGCACTCCCAGGGTTTTGCCGCCAACGGCTTGCTGCACCGCAACCGACAGCATGCCCCACCACCTCCGCAGTGGCGGCGGCAGCACGAAAGGCCGGCGGCGCACGGCACGGAGTGCCCGCACGCGGACGAGCTGTCGGACAAGCGCCTGTGAGTCAGCATTCCAGCGGCCTATAGCGGCTTCCGACTTCCGCAGCTAGGACGAGGAGACGCTGGCCGCCGATGCGTTGCAATTCCGGAAAGGTTGCATGCTTGCGGCATTCGGCTGCATGGGTGTGGTCTGCGCGTGGGTGGGGGGTGCCCGCAGCGGTGATGGGGCGAACCAGCAGCACAGCGCGAGGCCCTGGGGTGACACACCGTACGTATAGACTACGGAGGTCGAAGCGACGGCGGTCTGACGTCGGCCACACCTGGCGTTGACGTGTGCGACAGCCACCGCGTGCGCGTGCAGGCGAGGGCGTGGTCGCCACGAGGGTCTAACCGCCTTCGGCAACCATGCCCGTCGTGGCCGCAGATGCCGGGTCTCAGAGGTAAAGGCGAACGGAGGCATCTGCGAAGTGCGGTTTGCATGACCTCGGGCAGCAACGAGCTGGACCTGTCCGTGGGTATGGCATTGAGCCACGCGGCTGCCGGTGAGCCCGGCTGGGACAGTAGCAGTGCCTGGTGATCCGGCGCTAAGGTGGGCAGCAGCACGCGATCGCGGAAGTAAAGTGATCGGGTACCCGACGCGTGGAACTGCCAGCTGTGAGGCCAGGCCCGGCCTCGTGGGGCATTCCTGCAAGCCCTGGTTCCGCAGCAGGTCTGCAGCGGCCCGCCGCGCTCCAGTGGGTGTACGCACGCCAAGCGCGGTTGCCGTGTGTGCCAGTATACTAGATCTGCGGCCGGCGCAAGGCGCATGGCAGAC